GGGGGGGGGGGGGGGGGGTGTTTGAGATTTTTGATTCTAGGATTTGTTGTGAAAGACAATTTGGCATGGGCTCCTGAAATTAGCAAGTAGTTTTTAGGGTGGCTTGATTTAAGTATGGATTTTAAGGGGTGTTCAAAACTATCTGAAGTTGTTTTTCTGTACAATATGTCACTGTTAAAACAGAAGATGTTCTTGGTTCTTGGAGGGGTTAAGTTTTGGGTCCAGGGATTTTTGGGGGTTTTGTTGGAAGCGCTAGGGATTTTTATGAGTTTTAATTTTTGCCCCCATTCGATCATCGCCGTCACTTGAAAATGTAATTTCTTGGAGGGCCTATTGAGAACAAAATTGGCGTTTCCGCGTTATATTCTGATCCTTTATTTCATGCGATGAGAATACAATCTGAACGTTCAAAGTTACAATACCAACTGGGTAAAGTATAAAAAACCAGGAGAATATTTGAATTGTAAGTTGAAATTATTTTACATTCAAAGCCAGGCTCCTTCCCGGAAAACGAGTAACTTTCCCGCCACAGAAACTATAAGAAATGTAGATTACAGGAGCTCGTCGATTTTAAAAATGTATCTCTTATTACTTAAAGACCAACTTTCTTTCGTAGCAGTCTACGAAACCTAAAAAACGTAGGGTTAATAATAATAATAATAATAATAATAATAATAATAATAATAATAACAATAATGACAATAAAACCAATGATACCACTTGTGGTCGGCGGAAACCATTAAAAAGAGTGCGCACCCTTGTCAGCGTGACTAATGATAATAATAATAAAACCAATGATACCACTTGTGGTCGGCGGAAACCATTAAAAAGAGTGAGCACACTTGTCAGCCTGACTAAGCAATTTTAGTTCAATCAAGTACCAATCCAGCATTCGCGACCCGCACATTATTAAAATCTTTAAACCCGATTGAAAATCAAGCGAATGTATGCATATTTGCCGTCGGCTTTGATCGCATTCCGTTTTAAACAGCTATTTAAGACTATAGAATTAAAAAGAATCGACAGATAACCGTTGCGCGCTTTTTAAGCAATCTGGTGAACGTTTATGTTACTTACACGCTTTCTCTTTTGCCCATTCTTCGCCTTCCAATCGAATGTCCTCGTATTCAATCTTTGCAGCCGCAAATGCAAGTCGACATTTTTCTCCTCCAACGCGGCCTGAAAAATAGAACAACTTGTAGCCAGACATTTCTGCAGAATGTTTCAGTCGATTCTTACTGTGAGTGGATGCACAACTTCAACACAACTGCCGCTGAAGTTCAATGAACTGCTAACTTATTGCTGACCTTTTATATCACCTGTCAAGTGTTAAAATTAGAATTATGTCGTGTCATGTCACGCAACAGGCCACTCGAAGGGCTGTACCTGCAGGCAAATATTTTGCCGTAAATTTTAGTTGAGGAAAGGAGTGCGAGTTAAATATTCTATCTGAAAAATGTATCAGGATTATAGATTTATCAGCTGAGTTGTCAGAATGTTGAATCAGTTTACCGCCACAAACTAATTCAATTTAACTTTTGACCATTTTCATATGAATAGATGGGGTTTACCTCGGTGTAAGAACCTGTGAACTTTTCTTTGTTTCCCACCTTTTGTTTTTCTACGTTTTATTGTGCTGACTTCTTTGTTTCCTCTGTTTTAGGTCACTTGTGAGTTTAACAGGTTCTAACACCGAGGATGAGCCAATAGATGGCATTGCTGATTACAATACTCGTCACCCGTAAAAGAAGAGATAATTACATAGCAAATTTCTAGTTATATGATCTACATGATCTATATGATCTACTTCTGCTACATGTTGCCTGTTATTATTAAAAATAGAATTAAAGTCAAAAAGACTACTGCCAAGACTGATCAAACAATGTGAAAAAGCCTGAGGTTTACAATATTTTGTACTGGCCAATACCAGTCTTCATCCTGTTTAGTTGGCACCTGAGCCTGCGATACGGTCATGTGATACTAGTCAGCCGATACCCTGTTTTGACAGCTGTCAGTTGTCCTTAATATGGATGTTCATTATCAAGTTAAACACAGATTACAGGCTCCCACACTCTAGAAAGTTTGACATTTTATTTTGGTTTCCCTCTGGTTAGAACGGCTGTACGGTCACGTGATTACCAAAATTTCTCGGATGGATGGCTCCAATAGCGTGCGCAAAGCGCGCACGTGTAGCTCCGCTATTAATAGAAAGGTTATCATATCAGTTCAGATCAGAGAGTGATTCAAATAAGGATATTTGTTGCCTGTAGAATAAACAAGATAGTGTCGTTCTTTAAGATAAAGGAAGCAATAAAGAGAGTATGAAGTGTTTCCTGTCTTCCATTTCACTTAGAGAACAATACTTGCATCAGTTATCATAAATAAAATGTTCAGGCATTTGGGCGAGCAGTATCCTCCATATTCTATTATTAGTTCATGACTATTTGTCCTTAATTTTGCCGTCGCTCGTCCGGGGTTTGAGTTTAGATAGTTTAAGAGATTTCTTATCAGTGTCTTCAGAAAAAGATAGTTGGACAGAATTGATTTGGGTTTACTTTTTATTTCAATGATATTTTTAGTCAGTTATCTCTAATTTACCTATTTGTTGAGTTAGTCGCTTTTGATCCTTTTTTGTTAAACTGAGAACAAATTTGATTTGCGGAAGAGATGGAGGACTGTTTCCCAGTATTTGCTAATTCTTTTGATATAGTCATGAGCAAGTAGACTGTTTTTATTTCAAGACTATAATTACTGTGCGCGCCATTGAAGCAAATATTTGCCGGAAATTTTACGTAGAGGAAAGGATTACGAATCAAATATTCCACATGAAAAATATATCAGGCTTACAGTTTTTTCAGCTGAGTTGCCTAGGATATTGAATCAGTCTACCGGAAACATTAGAAGCTCGTTTATTTAAACCAAGAAAGTATTCATAGAATTGGGAGAATATAGTCGCCTTTCCGCAGGGTCATGTTCCCGATTAATTAATCCAGGTTCAGTTTGGCACTTTTCCCACCCCATACTTCAGAGTTATACTGTAATAATAGGTTTAAATAGTGTGGTAAAAAGTTTGCTGCCTATATCAGTAGATAAGTCAAGAAAACTTTTTGTTGCAACAATACTGCGTCTACACTATTTCTACCAAAAGTGAGCGCTAACCCCCCCTCTGCAGGGTTGAACGATCGGGGGAGCCTGTCCGCTTGTTGACACGTTTGGCGGAAACGTTATTTAACTACTACATCAATTAACTTCCTTAGCGAGTGATTTTGAAGCTGGCCTAATGTCCTAAATATACCGTTTAGAATTGCTTTTTGAAACCTCTCTCCTGCATTGAAGACCTTAGAAACCTACAGTTCCCGGCGGTTACTTTCGTTAAATCTTTTGGCAGGTGTGCTGCCAGAACGAACCAGAAGAAGTGTCTTTTCCCAACCCTTTTCTGGCCTGGCCTCTAATATCCATCCCGGTTTTTAGAGCAAGCAAACGAGGGTCACAAACGCGACATACATGGGCAGAAATTATGTCATCATTACTCTGATTAAAACGCCCTCAAGGGTTTCTTTAAACCATTTCAAATTCGCATCAGTTAGTTTACTTAGTCTTTCTTTCTCTTGCATTAGCGAGCAGCGACACTATAGTGAGATATGCGGAATCAGTGTGTCAAGAAATAAGGCCTCTTGTCTTAAACAGGGTAGCGAAATGAAATTATTTTTGTCTTAAACGGGGTCAGGGTTTGAAGGTCTCGGCGGCCCATATAAAAACCTTTACTCAAGTTTCCCTTTCAGTTCCCTTTGAAACTCCTTTGAGGCCGGGGTATATCGGCACATTGGACAAATTCGATCAATACAAAAATAAACCTTTTAAAGTTTTCTTTATTCCTTTGCACCTAAAACCAACGGTGAAGCACGGAGTCGTTCAACTACGGCACACCCTAAAATCTCTGTTTTAGGCCTTTCTCTCGCTTTACAATTTCTTCAATAGCAACCACAAGCTTAATATTCGGTTACAGGGCGTTTCTTTACCCACTCATTTATTTCGGGCACGTTTAACACCCGCTTATAATGCTCCACCAAGAGCGGGAACTTCTCAAGTTCTCCAGGAACATCCTCTTTACCCTTCGATTGGAAGTTGTTAAAGAAGTCAAAGAAAGTGATGTCGGCATAGCTCAGCTGCAGATAAGAAACAGAAAGAAATCGCAGTTACGCCAGGGGCGTAGGATTAGGGTAGCCTTTCTTCTGAGTGTGTGCTGCAAGCCTCAGGCAATAGATGCGGTTACACAAACCATGGTAAAAGGCTTTTCCCACGTTAACGAAGCCGTGGTAAATTTAATGTGGGTGGGTTTAGTTTAGATGCCATTAAGGTAATTAAGCCGCTTTCAGTTTACGGCTTCATTCGCGCAATTACGGTAATAACCGCCGTCGACAATGGCAGTATTTTATGTTATGTTGAAAATTTACCTATAATTTTATAGCTGAAATTTCAACTGGTATGTTATTCATGATAATTAGCGAAGGTATATAGTTCGATTTTACTGTTCAGCTGCATCCAACGGTTCGATATATACCAGGAATAAAACTTATTTTGGGGAAATATCTTTTCTAAATCTATCCCAACAAACCAGTTCAAAATTTTGCCTCAAAATTTCCCTGTTTCTTTCATCTTCACGTGAAATCTGTCATGTCACCATCGATCTTTCTCTCAACAGTGCCAAAGAAACCCTTTTAAAAAAAAACAATTGTTTGGGGTTTCATGTTGAAGAAATCTGATTGGCTGCTTTGCCTTGGGTATCGGAAAACCCTTGCTTTTTACCAAGTTTAATGTTATAAGCGGTTTCTTTGCTATTTTTGACGCAACCATGGATATTTCCCATGGTAAATTTATCTCGGGAAAGTCCGGTCACACGCACCGAAGCAATTTTCCACGGTAAAAGGGTCATTAATATTTACCATGGTAAATAAAAAAATGTCCCGTGTAACCGCACATACGAGGGCCATTAATACGAGGAAAAATAAGACGCGTGTTACATAAGACGCGAACTGTACCATTTATATGAGCAGGTCTTATCTAAGACGAAAACAGCTCGTGTAAATATGGTTCGCGTCTTATTTCTGTTCTTGACTCGTATCCATGTGAATGTTGCCCGTAGCAACGGCAATCCAACATTTGTCCTCGAGATCTGCTATTGCCCTCTCCTTGCATAACAACAAAAAATCCTTTTCTTCAGCGGTGGACCACGTGTTTCGGTGTTTCGTTTTGTCTTTGTCAGCGTGCTCATTATACATGAGCGAATTAAGAAACAATAAAGCTTAAAAGTCTTAGAATAGACGGCAGCCCAAGGAATCGAAAACGCGTTGTAATATGTAATAACTTTTCCCTGCCAGTAGCCTGCCAGTCCACCGCGGGGCAAGCGAAAATTTTCCCGCCAAAAATTAACGCATGCTTACTATGCGTTTGCGCCTTATTTAAGACGCGAAGGCCATGTATACGACGTTTTTCTAAGAACAGCTGCTAAGGGCTGTTCTAAAATAAGACACGTCTCAGAAGAGTTGTTGCCGTGACTATTCACTAAACCTATTAGATTTTGACGTTTTTGTTGTCGTCACTGTCATAGCACTCCCTATTTAAAAAAATTGTTGATCAAACCCCTGACGCGCACCAAATTTACAGAGTAACAGAAGGGAAGACGTCACGCTAGGAATTCATGCTGCTCAGTGCCATGCAAAATGTGCTGACGTTGCTATATTTTAAAATTTTTTGAAAAGACTTTCTTTGGGACGGGTTGAACTTTGAAGGCTCAGGGAGCGGTCATCGTTTTAGCCTGCAGATAAAGGTGTCTCTTCTCGCTTCTCGATCACCGCTTGGGACGTCCCTAGTGGCAAGAAGGATGAGAGAAGGCTGAATTCGAAGGCTATCAACGTTTTATTTATGACTTAATTACTATTGATCGTTTTCACATGACGTCACGGCTTCCATATTGGTGCCCCAAAACAATGAAACGGCGGCTATGTTGGTGTTCCAAACCAGTCCTGTGGAAGTTGAACTCTTTTCTTATGTAAAACCTTTCTTTTGTTTTGCTGACCACGTGAGTGAAAACGCTCTATACTCGTTAGTGTTCTAAGCAGGCCTAATCCCCTTGCTATGCTTAATTTGCATTATGCTTTGCTTAATTTTTTCCTTATCTCACCTTTTCGCCTAGAAAGAAGCCCTTGCCTTCATCCCTGTTTTTGAGAAGAGCTTCATATTTCTCGAGTCGGGGAGGAAGCGTCGTTCCATAAAACTCCTTTTTCAGCTCTTCCTTCATTTAAGGAAAACAAAATGTAGGTCATCAATGAAACTAAATTCTGGGAAACTGGAAAAAGTAAGCCCACAGGATTGTACACGGGGCAAAACTGAGAAGTACTTCTCTAAGCTCCCTGTATACGGATGAACTGGCAATGGGACGACTCCACTTAAGGCCGGGGGGGGGGGAACTCCCTATAATGGCTTAAATGGCTTATACGGGGAGGCTTCGCCCGAAAGGGGTACCTTTTTCAGGCTTCAGGTATATGAAAGGGAAGGAATTTCATTAATTGACAAAAGTTTATGGAAGAGTAGGGACGTATGTAATTTTTGCCAGTTAAAAGGTCCAAAAGGGCTAACAAATGCAATTTATGGCTATGAAAAAACGTTTTGGTTTTGTAATTTAGCAATTTTTAATAACAGTGCATTTACAGCAGTTAAAAGGGATGCAAAGTTTTTAACTAGGTATGTGAAAGGGACGCGATTTTTCAATATAAGGTTTGCGTAAGGGATACCTTTTCCGTCAAAGAAGGTATATAATTAAACGCGGGTAAGGAGTTGGACAACGGAAAGAAGCAAGGCTGTTTTTACAGTTGGAAATATAATTATTGCCAATACTTCTAAAAGCACGGCCTTTCCTCTTCAGGGCCCGGTTCCTCCAACGATGGTTACATTAAACGCAGGATTAAGCCAAATTTTAAGCACGCTTTTCTTGTCTAAGAACATGTAACTCAAGGTTAAAAATACGGTTGCGCCTTTACTCTTAGATACAGTTATAATAATTCAAAATGTTACTCTAAGCAATGTATGGAAGGTAAATACAAAGAAGTGGAACAAAATTTTAATCCTGGATTAGCGCTAACAGACCTTTCAGGAACCGGCCCAGGGTCTTAAAAATGACTGAAGGGGTTGGACCTCGGGACGGTGCCCACCAGTAAAATTTCTTGTCGAGTAATAAGTACCTTTAGCTTCCCCCCGGGACTTACGACAACCTTTAGTTAATAAAACCCGCGTAAAATCTTCGTTTACAAGACCCTTTCCCGTAAGTGGCCAGATTAAAAGACAAACAGTCCGTTTTCTCTGCTCCCAATGGTGTTCTCTTAAGGCTGCTACGACTGAACAAGGTTAGTTTCTGTTTTAAATTTAGACGTCTCTGCAATCTAAATGACCAGCGGCTAAGCGACTGACCTAGTTTTTGGCGCTTTACAACAGTCAGCTCCTTTTAAAACGGACACTGTAGGGACCTTAACTTAGTGTCCTCATTAGCGAGAGTCCGCAATAGCGGAATTTTATTTCAGTCAAACTTCTGTAATTTATTTTTTGCTTGGGATTTAGATGCTCTCTGTATTATTGAGATGTCCGTTACAACAGGGTGTCCGCAAGGCGAGAGTTAACTGTTTTTGGATCGGTAACCTCTATGGATGTGTTATACCCCTAAAACTATAAATTTCATCCTTGCCTCTCAAGCGTTACATCACAAAGATATCATTTTTTGTGGATAAAACGTTTATTTATGTATACGTTGAATGACTTCTTGAAAATCACTTTAAGGCATTTCCTTAGAACAGAAACAACTAACGAAGTAGTAAGTACCCCATACTGTTCTGACGTCAATTTATATGCCTTCTTTATACTTTTTCATGGCACGCGAATGCGATTATGTGAAACAAGTTCTTCTAGCCAAGCCTAGTATTTTACTTCAATCACGGTTTGGAAGGGAACGGGGATGAAAAGGGGTGGGGTCCTGATCCCACACAAACGCTCCTTTTTTAAGAAAATCCCACATCCCGCTGTTTTTTTCCATATCTTTTTCCCGAATTCCTCTTTTGTTTGCATAAACAAAAAACAAATTAAACAAACAAGGCACACAGTTTGGTTTGAAAGGAGACAACACTCAACACGCGCCCCGTTGATTCGCATTTGCCGCTCACTCATATGATTTCCCGAATTTACAACTGACATACAGGCAAAAACATCCCGCATTCCGTGCTTAAATTTTGGCGAATCGCGCTTCCAGGGTAGTATTAAAATCCTTTTTCCCGTCAAGATAGTTTGCGTTTTCCCGAATCCCGGACCGTATTTTGGTCAAATCCCGAATCCCGAAAATACCCTTCAAGACCTTGTTCAATTCTCACCACAGCAAATTAAGCATTGTCTGGCGCTGAGGGTCAGAACTGGCATCTTGAGTTAATCTAGACTGCAAAACAGGCCGTATTTTTGCCTAGGTTAAGAACGCGCGCGCACGAGCGGTCGAAAGAAAGGCCTAGAGAGAGGGTGAAAACGGAGAGTGAGACTGGGGACATTCTCGCAACACACGCCCTAGGAGCGTGCAAGGTCCACGTGCGTCGCTCGAAAATAGAGAGTTTAAGCAACTTACTTCACCGGAAGTGAGTGAGTCCTTTTCCTTTTAATATGCCTCGATGCTACCTAATTTGTATTGCTCAGATACTTTATTATGATAGAGACGATCTGCTAGAAACTTTGTTAAAAATCACGGCCCAACATTGCAAAAAGGTTCACTTCCGGTTGACTCGCGTCGCTCAAAAACGTCGTTGCTCAAACTCCCTAATATCGCGCGAAGCGCTTTGCAAAACCGATTTAAAGAAAAAGACCGACTGATTTGCAATCTCAGGAGTAAAGCCTGACAGGCTCTGTATGTGGGGTACTGAAACGGACATTAACTTTTGCATTACCTTCTTGGTTTCGTCTTTCTCATAGTATATCTTGACAAATTGCAGAACTAAATCAACGACTCCATCACTTATCATATCCGCTGTCGCTTCATCAAAACTGTTGGCTGGGCACAAACCTAATCACCATAAATAAAAATTAAAGCTAATCCAGCATACGCCTTCTTAACTAATAAAAAGTAAGAAGGAAAAAAGAAAGAAAGAAAGAAAGGAAAAGAAGAAATAGTAGGAAGGAGAGAATGAAAAGGAGAAAAAAAGACACGGAGACAAGGAATAAGAGAAAAAAAAGAAAAGAAAAGAAAAGAGAAAAAGAAAGAAAGAAAAAGAAAAGAAAAGAGAGAATGGAAGAATGATGAACGAACGAACGAACGAACGAACGAACGAACGAACAGACGGACAGTTTGGTGGATGGATGGATGGATGGATGGATGGATGGGTGGTTGGATGAACGAATGAATGAATCTTTTATAAACTATATCGACAGGTAGCCTCCTACGCAGACGCTCTTAGGGCCTCGCTTTCCGTTTGGGGAAAGAACGCGTAACGACGCTCCAAAAAAAAGTCTGCGTGGGAGGCTAATGAGCAGGCTTTGGTTGTTCAAAGGCTGGAGAGCGCCATCCATCGGATAAATCTGTATTTAGTGGATAGTGCAATTAGTTTCCCCAATACTTATCCGCTGAATAGTGATTTATCTGGTAGATAGCGCTATTCAACGTTTGAACAACCGGGGCCAGGAGTAGCCGGCGAGCCAGCTCTCCTTCTGGGGTAGTCGCGAAAAGTCACGCAAGAACCGCACACTAAAGGAGATGCGCGCGAGGGTTGGGCCGCTCGCTCACGCGGTCTCTCGCGGCTCGAAAAGGAGAGTTTGCTCGCAGGCTACGGTAGGAACGATATGCTGATTAAAAAATTCCGTTCAACACATCACCTCCTTTTTTGCAGATGTACTTCATAATTGTACTAGACTGTGCCAGGATTTTTCCTTCAGGAGTCACAATGAATGGCATTTGACCGAGAGGTGGTCTACCAGCTGAAACAGAAAAGTAGTAGTACGTAGGGGTTTCTTTTAAAGAGAGGTCAATGGCAGCCCTGGTTATGCTAAATCCCGAGGGAGGCGAGGGGAGGGGGGGGG